GGGCCGAGAATGGAGACCGTCAGAGATAGGTGCACGTAGTGTGGATATTATATCTGACTAGGGTTCCGCGCTGCCACCCTTCCTCCTGTACCCCCATCTATTTCCCTCTTCTTCATCTTTCTCGAGTTCGGTCTATCGCCATCTTTCTACGGCTTCGTCGACCTTCCTCTTATCTACACGCAGCTCCGTGGCGGCTATTTTTCTCCCTCGTTCTTCTGTTTCCTTGGTCCTGTTTCCTTTTTTCTTTGCGCACCCCCACTACCATCCCCCTTTACCGCTGGAAGCCAGAAGAACGGGGCCGGGATCGTAAGTTGAAAATACGTAAGGGAAACTGCATTAGGCGAAGGGGCGTCTTTCGCTTAAGATAAACTCGTTTTCCATAGAGCCCCAGCCCTTTAAGTCGTAGCTCTCATTGTGCTGCAAATTTGCGAGCTCTTGCGGGGAGACGTGCGCGCGAGACCTTCTCGGGATTATATCGGCGACGATCCCCCCCCCCCTCCTTCTTGCTCGAGGATCTTGAGGCACAGGCGATACCCGATGTTTTCGAACGAGAAAAGGGTTTTGCCTTGCGACGGGGGGTAAAGTAAAGATCGTTTTCGTGACTTTCGAGTCTATGAATATTTCCCGACCCACTCGAAATCGTTGACGGTGTTTGGAGGGGGATGGAAGGAGATTTTCCTTTTCGTGAATCGGGGAGATACTATGGGTATCTACGGGTATTATAGTTCAGCAGTTTCTCGGGGGATTCTTGAATAGCATGTGTTGTTTCGAATAAGGATTATATGTGGATAACGTAAGCGATATCTAGTGATGCGTTGATGTGTTTCTGAACTATGGGTGGAAACTTAATCGAGTAACAGGTGGTAATAACATAAACAAAACGGTCTTAAACGTATTGTACATAAGTCGATAACATGATTCGTTTCAGGATATTAATTATCTAATTTCCAAGTTGATTGTTATACGAGTATGAGCAATTAGTTGATCGATTAATTCGACTTTGTTATATGAAGTTTTTGTACAAAAATTGAGGAAGAAAAGAAAAATGGAAAATATAAACAAAGATGAAATAGAAAAAAGAAATAATCTTATTAAGGCGATCATGCCAATTTAAATAATACTCAGGATGAGTAGGCACATGATTTCGTCAGAATGTCTCGTAGTGGTCAGTACTACTGAAAAAATTACATATGTGAAAAACGATAAGCTTACCGACCCACCTTTACTATAAAATTCTTTGATTTTTTTCTTAATTAAAATCTATTCAGTAATAAAGTTCTTACCAACAGTTCAGAGACACTATAAAGGATTTTAAATGTTGTGTTACAAGCATACTATAATTTGAGACACTGTACAGGAGTTTTGCAATAAGTATACAGAGTTACAATTATACTCTATTATAAATAATAAATTAAATTATTTATCGACGTTGAGAAAAATACATTAAGAAATAGTTAAGTAATAATTAAATACAAACACAATATGGGTAACGAGTACTGATTAACTTTCACCAGAATTTAACAAAAAGACACGGAAAAAGAACATATTTACAATTATATTACATAAATGTAAATATAATGAACAAAGTAATAGGTTGAAATATAAAATGATCAAGATACTGGATATGGAATTTAAAAATCAACTATCAAGAATTCCAAACATGAAATTAAATCTGATTACTATCTAAAAATTGATATATAATTTTCAACACTGCAAGAAACATCAGGACCAGTCAATACAGTAAAATACGAAAGAAAATACAAACAGAAAAGTAAATCAAACACCACTATTATCAGAAAGTATCACTATACTGTCCCACTAGAACATAAGTATCTATTACAGAATCCTTTCAATCCTAATGTCAATAAACAAAACTTTCTAAATTGTTCCATCAAATACCTCGGTACCCCAAGCATTCCTGCATACGTCAATCAAACATACAGCCAATCCGCTTCGTTTTACACTGATTTACACAAATCAATGTAAAATTACCCAAAGTATTGGGAACCTTACGATATTTCAACAAGAGCATAAATAATTTTGAAGCGCAATTTGGTACCAGGGTACCCAATTATTACGATCAAACATCGTACACCACTTTCTGCACCTCAAAGCTGCTAAACACCACAATACACTCAATATACCGAAAAATTTCAGTTAAGAAAAATAATTCCTAAGCGTTCGTGTCAACGGAGCACCAACACTTTCTCTTCGTACCCTAAAACTTCAGTGACAAGGTCACGCATCATTAATCATCATTCGACGCGAACCAGCCGGTAAAGAGTTCGCTCCTCGTCGCGTAAAATCGCTGGAAAGTGGGGGGAAAAGAGGGAGAAAGAAAGAGAGAGCGCGCGAAAGGTGGGAAAGTGGCATAAATGTTTCAGACTCGCGAGCATCTGTCGTCCGGGAGACTTTTTCAGTTCTCGAAGGGAGCCTCGGTTTTTGGCGGCTCTCGAGACGTGGGTGGCAAAAGGGATGGAGAAGGAAAAGGACGGTGTAAGCGGAAAGGGGGGTTTACTATCCTCGTATAATGTATTATAAGTGGAGGCACTCACAGGGCCGTCAGTACCAAACACTCAAAGCCCGCCCATGCCACTCCCGGTTCTATCTACCCGGTTCGTATCTCTCTCTCTCTCTCTCTATTTCTCCCTCATACCCTCTCGAAACCCACCCCCCTTTCGCTGCCTGTACACTCCGCTTTCGAGTTATCGATAAGAACCGCAGACCTCTTTTGTTGGTTGATAGATAGCCTTTCAAAGGCGACGCCGAGGTCAAATATTCGACATGCCGCCGGTTCAATTTCATGCCAATAATATCTAGGCGAAATAAGGGCCGGAAGCTTTAACCGGCAGGCTTTTCCGGGAAAGTTTGAAGAGTACGCGCTCTAATACCGTTTGCGCGTGGGCGTAACGAATGTTCGATGGAAAACGGGACTTTTTTCTATGGGATATGATCCTTTTTTTTTTCCCCCGATTTTAAATAGTTGAACGAGGCATTTGCCGTAATTTTTGTTGAACTTCTATGGCGATTTTTTTATATGGTATTTTAAGAGGATAGGACTTTGTCAGGTTGGAAGTTAACTTTTTTTAAATATGAGAAATCATTCCGTACTGAATTAGCCCCTCGCTAAATGTAATTTTACAGCGATAGATTGCATATCTGTCAAGCGATAAGTATATGTATATGTTTCCTTAACCCTGTAACGTCACTAATGTAAAGTAAACATTTATGTTTCGAGTTGAGAAATTCAAGTATTCGCTCCAGAAATAAATAAAAAGAAAGAAAAAATGACAAGATTTAAAAATAATAAAATACAACATAATATGTGTATCAGTCTCATAATTTTGAAATGACGATTTGAGTGTCTGGGTGTTAAAGAGTTAATTTGATTTTTATTCATCAGGATTAACAAATGAAAGAAAAGCGTACAAATATTGAAAGGCGTAAACAAATGTGTTTATGAAAGTTCCACAGATGAAAATCGTAATAAAGAACAGTCTACAACGATTAACACAGTATGATGATACTTTCTGAGATACAAGGTGTTTGATCATGGTGTCTGTCACACTTTCTTGATTCAGGTTTGGTTTATTATGTAATGTATATCAGTCAGGATGAACAATTTATGTACTTATGTACACAAATATCCTTCGAAATTGTTAAACAATTATACGACAAACAATTTCATGAGTAGAATGATGGTTGAGATGGTTATTGATTATTTACTCGCATAATAAAATTAATATTAACAATTCAACGTTAACTGACAGTTTATAATAAGGTACAGCATAACGTACTTTTGAGAACGTCGTAAAGTACGTAAACTACTCGGAAATTAATTTAAAAATTCAAATACAGTTCCAGAAGTATAACAAATATTAATTAATGGAATTACTTTGCGTGATAATGTTATACAAATATGTTTAATGAAGTTAGGGAAAAATCAGAAATTTATAGAAAATTTTCAATAAAACTAGGATTCGATAGTGGAATAAAAATTTGCGAAATTTCGACATTTATCCAAATACAAAAAAATGCTTGAGTCCGTTATCAAATCGTTCAATAGCCATTTAAAAATTCGTTAATTTAATATTTCTTCGTATCTTAATACTTCTCCACTCTTTCAACTGGATAAAATACATTATTTGCAACCTTTCTTCAAAACTCCCATGAAACTCTGAATCTCATACACGGTATCGACATCAAATGCAAAAAGAAAAGCCTTCAATCCTTTATGGAAACAAAATTTCGAACTCAAGCATTTTTCCATCCCCTTAGCCAGTTCCGGACCGCGCGTCAATGAGTCTACTAATTAACCTTCATCCGGATAGAAAAACCTCTGAAGGTCTTTTATTATTTCATAATGAAGAATATAATAATTCATGGCACACCGGCTGCAATACTGCCGTAAGTTTAAAAAGTAAATTTTACAGGAGAGCTTATTAAAATGTTAGCACAACATTCAAACATCTACAACAAATGTTTATCAACAGCTCTCTACTGGAGAAAAACAGAAAGTAAACTTGTGCCAGATTTGTAGCATGCAGAAGTCTATATTTATAGTCTTTCTACATATAAGACTAGAAATTCATGTTGTATGTATATATAATAATATACATAATCAATAATAAAAAATGTAATGTTACTATTTTACTAAATAAACAAAATGAATTAAAATAAGTAAAATACTTTAGAATTATTCAGTTCAACTATACCAGAACCTCTAAAGCCTCTTCTTCACTCTGTCCTGATGAAGGTTAAGAATCGATGTTAACACTAACCACCCTATCAGAACCAATCAAATGACCGGTTTTGCCGTTCTAATTCGGTAGATTTAGTGTAAAGATTACAATTAAGATTACGATTAAGGCATTGAAAAAAAAAACGGGAGCCTGTGCACACTGCTACCGATAAGAATTTTAAGCCGCCGTTCGCAAGGCGTCGTGCGGCAAACACACACGATGGTTCCAGTATTTTAAGAAATGGGTTTGTGAGGCCAGGTGGCGTGGATCAAAGCGGACACCAAGGCGATCCTGGCGATTCACGAGCACGTGATCACGAACAACGCCCGTTTGTCAGTGACGCACAGCGACTACAACACGTGGACGCTGAGCATCCGCGGTGCACGCCGTGAAGATCGAGGAATTTATATGTGTCAGGTCAACACGGATCCAATGAAGAGCCAGGTACGTGAAAGACAGACTATCTCTCCCCCTTTGGTATACCGACCGAGCAATAAAGAAAGAAAACAAGGGAGGGGTAAGAACGAAAGAAAAGAGGGAGGTAAAGGGGAGGGAACACCGCAGTGAGCCTCGACGGGAAAGTAGAGATGTTTTTACCGTAGATCCGGGTCAGATTTTTATTGTGCGCGATGCTCTTCCACGGGAGGGGCATTCATCTTAAAGTGAAATCCGTTCCCCTCGACTGGGGAAGTAGTTGTTTCCACTACGACCCCTCGGCGAGCTTGGGGTTATGCTCAAAAAATTTCATTGGAATTTGCATCCCTCAGTGAACGCGACAGACCCGCTGCCTTCGGGATCGTTAAAATTAACTCGATCATCGTCTGATCGTTTTGACTTGACGATCAGGAGCACTTTTGATCGAATCTCGAGGATATTCTTCGATATACAAGGTGAACCATGAAACGTGATCAATTTACAGAATTCTACTGCTAGCTGTTCGATCGAAAATTGGTTTTGCTATTATAACATGGTTCAAGGCAGAGATGGGCGCAATTGAATGATTTTGTAATTGAAATACATTTGTTACAATAAATACAGGGTGTCCCACGGTTGAATAATTCTTTCAATTTAAGCTGACCAAGGAAAAGTTGACATTTTATAAATTCTAGAAGAGTTTGGGGTGAAACAGATATTTCCATTGCTCTGATCTCAAGCTGATTTGAATTGAACTCGTTATCTTAAATGCAAAAAAGAGATGAAATCTATGATTTGTTTTAGTATGTTGTTTTAGTAATTTGTTTTAGAATAACATAACTTAAAATTTATGTGGAAACAGTTCTTTCGCAAATAGTGAATGAGTGATGAATTGAGTATGGCAGCTGGATTCATTTACACAGCGGCGTATAGCGATTTTCAATCTACTTTTCTGAGCTTCGCAAAACTATTACATGTGTCTGTCAAAGAGAAAATAGTTGAAACCCGGTTTACTTAAGCGGATCCTGCCACTGCAATCATACCACCTGTAAAAGAGCCTTTTCTCTGTCGAATCTATACTACTATTTCCCATTCCATTATCTGAATGTCATACTACAGGACATTTTTCGTTTATCACAATACTGGATTAAAAATGGAAAATTCTATGGAATAAAAGTCAAATTGGCATCAAAATGTAACTGTATGAAATGAAATTGTATTATAGATTAGTAAAATCTGACGAGATGAAATTGCAGATTAGTAAAATTGGAAGAAATCCAATGAAAGATTAGTAAAATTTGAAGAAATGAAATTGGAGTCTAGGAAAATTGGAAGAAATGGAATTAGAGATCAGTAAAATTGAAAATAAATGTAAATGTGCTAAGTTCAAATTCAAATTCAATAATCTCGAAAACGAGACAAACTTCGAAAAGATTTCATTGCGGATTTTTTACTTGTTTTTTTTCCATGAACAATCGTCACCTTTCCGTTTGTACTGCCAGTTATGGGACACCTTGTGTATCGTAACAACTGATTGGTCTGGTTACTTTTTCTTTATATTCTATCGATGAATGACATTGCAGAGCGCGTTTCTGGAGGTGGTGATACCGCCGGACATAATATCCGAAGAGACGTCGAACGATCTAATGGTACCCGAGGGCGGATCCGCGAAGTTGATCTGCAAGGCTCGCGGTTATCCAGAACCTGAGATCGCTTGGAAACGGGAAGATGGCGCTGACATCATTTCCCGGGCTGGTCATTCCGGCGGAAAAACGAAAAGTAAGTGCCCGGCTTTATAATTATGAAATGTCCTGCCTAGTTAAGGAAGTATTCGGAAGACTTTTACTCTACGGTGACACAAAGCGAAAGTTTTTCAGTCGACCGTACCTATTCTAATGTTACTTGGTAAAAGGGACCAGTGAAATATTTTTTGTTTTTCGAAGAACAGAATATTTAACATTAGAACTACCAAACAAAAATGTTATAACATTACATTTTCTGGGATCTTTTGCAATTTTTATTACGATACGAAAATGCAGAAATTAGTTAATTTGTACATGTTTATAAATTTTCAGAAGTTTGTCATTGTTTATCGACTGATCGAAATAGATAGCGTTCACCATTGGTAGTACTAATGTGAAGGTATACTTTTAAATTTACTTTCATACTTTTTTTTAGTTAAACAAATAATACTTTGTTAGTCTGACGAAATTAATTACTTATAAGAAACAGTTCATTGCATATTTTGACCAGTTTGCAGTAAAAATTGGTTTTTCTAACATTTCTCGAAAATTCTTTATTTTGGCGAATTTCGTTTATCTTCTATTTGTGGTCATAATAAGTAGAAACAGAATGTACTGGACAGACATTTCGATTATTTGGAAAAAGAAGCATTATACGAAAAAATTCTATTCTACATTTTTTACTTATTTTTGTTTACAGACTGACCTTCTGTCCGATTGTACTACCCCAAGTTTCCTATTTTCTAAAATTATTATTCCAAAAAAACCATAACACCTATTTCCCCTTCAACACATTTTCTACACACAAATACCATACGTGTGTCGCAAATAATCAACGAGTTCTTAACGTTTTCGTACTGGCGACGCATACGTTGCGTTCAGTCAATTATTTCAATAATGCTGCTAACGCACCGGTTCAGTTTTTATTTGCACGTACCATATGCCTTATGACGAAAAGAAAAACAGTAAACAATCATGTAAAAACGAACATTATTCCATACAACAAACCTATTTCCGATAAAAAAAAAGTAAACCGCTCCTGGGAAGGGACATGCAATTTCAGCCAGCACTAAAAGTGATAATACATTATAGAATACATTCTGAATTGACCAAACAAAACACTCACAAATGTCTCTTATGAAATATGAAAAACCAAATCACTTGACTTAGTAAACGTATTGAAAAATAAATATTCGGACAATAAACAAACTATTATATTTTCTAATTCCCCAAAGTACAAATTTAATTGACGCTCATAAACAAATAGTTTTATAAATATTAGTAAATAGTGCTATTATGGTGTTCGATTCCAGCACTTTGATTGTTATCCACGTCCCATTCCCGGAACCTCTAAACAATTTTCGTTCACAACCAGGGGCCGGCGACCGGCCGCGGATAATTCTAAACTGATTACCGTTCCGTTCTCGCGTTTCACGAGGAGCCGCTCGAGTAAAATCGACCACCGCGCATGACAATCCCACCGATCCATTCAATCCGCGGGAAAGTTTTCGTTCTCGCGGCCGCGGGAACAGCTAGTCTCGCCGCCTCGTATTTCGAAAGCCTTTCCAGACCAAAGCTACGTCTCGTGTTACATCGTGTCACGCAAATACACAACAATACTGACTCAAGTAGACGGCAGCTCCACCCGCTACGAAATGAAAAAGCAACTCGACGCTCGTTTTACGAACCTTCATTCCTCTCGATTAGTCCTATCGATGGGAATAGCAAGAAGAAAAAAATGAGAAGTTCAATAAATTATGAAAAATCGAAGGGCAAGGACTGAAGGAATGGTGTAAAGTAAATTGAAAAACGAATAAGTAACATCAAAATGAACAATGACGTAAGATCACTAGACGATGAAAAATACTGTGTGAACGTTGAAGATTTGACAGTTGGAAAAGCAATACCGTAATGGTTCGATGAGTGCGACGTACTAGAGTCCGTTTAGGAGCATTAATGACAAGGTGGAAAGATTTTCAGCACCTCATAAATTTATTTTTTTACCCGAAGACGAGCCTCTACTTAGCTTCTGTTTGAATTGGTCGGAACGGGGTATTCCCCCAGTGGTGAGAATAACACGGTTGCTCGTGTCGAAAAATATTTAAAGCAGAATTTGAACAGTTTCGAAAGAAGAATACTGTGGAAGTATAAATATCATTTTAGATACAAATGAAGGGAGTCAGGTGTATTGAAAACTTCTTTTACGATAATAACAGTGGAAAATAATAAATCTATCGCTGAACATATTGTCACATTATTTCAAGAATATAAAGGAATGTATTATGATATAATTACAATAAAAACAAGTGTAGCGATTTGATGAAGATATTAATCGATCGGTTATATTGTATTTTAATCTCGATTAGCCTTATTACTTCATTCTCAAGTGTGAATGTAACGAATGATGAAATAGTTCGTGGCGGAAGTGTATTTCACGATCGTACAGCTGCAGACGAAAACCCTTTATCAGAACTCGACGCGATGACATTGAATCAGTCAGTGAATCTCGAATACAGTCCTACTTTGTCTAACATGATATCGGCATTTATACCAATTAAACGGACAGTTGTATATTATTTACTGTCAGTTTTCCGTCTGTAATCTAATAGGAGCTGTCAGTGAAATTTAAATCAGGTACTATATAATTTAGAGTTCCTTCATTATCGGCAAGTTTATTGATTTGATTCGTTACTTAAAGAAAATCGAAAATGTGCATTTCTCATACCCATGAATTTGCTGTAGATATAATTTACGCAAATTTCCTTACTAATTAAAGCTAAGAAGGCTTCGAATATTTCTATTCGAATGTCAATGAACCAATATTTGTTGCCATAGAAAATTTAATGAACCTTACGAATTATACTATATTTCTTAAACATCTTTTTATACATCTTCACTGTTCTTCTGTGGTGCATATGAATGCTTTCAATTGTCTTAAATACTTACAAAATTTTCAAATTACCAGATTTCTAAAAGATAAAGACATACTTAATGTTCTACCCAGTAATTCTAAATTCAAACCCTAGGCAAATGTTTCATTACAATCTCCTAAAGAATAATACTTCCAAAATATCTCCCTAAAAATTTATACTAAAATCGATACAAATTGAAGCCCACGTTTCAACATGTAATTGATGTAACAGAATCGATAGAGACACGTTTCTTTCGATCCATTACGAAAAATTATATCAACTTCACAAACAATCAATATGATTTCACAATACCTGTACAATTCCCAAGTCCTGCAATTACCATCGTTTTACATTCAAAAGATGTTTCGAAAATAATTTTTAAAATGAAAATACCCTCCAAAAGGGTCGACTAGAAATTCCAAGTTTCATTCTTCAATTGCCAATAACACGAGACTATAACGAAACGATTTCACGGCACGCCTCTCGATAATCAATTAATCGTTCACGGTCTAATAGATTTTGATATTCTTTCGATCGATTCTCTGTATTGCAGTAAACTCGGCCGAGGGGGAAACGCTGACTCTATCGAAAGTAACCAGGAGCGAGATGGGCGTCTACCTATGCATCGCAAGTAACGGAGTACCACCATCAGTCAGCAAACGGATGATGCTGCACGTGCACTGTGAGTATGCCCTATTATCGTTTCCGTTGGGTACTTTCGCCCAGGAATCTATCTACCTTCCGAAGATTATCTCCTTTGGTCCCGACGGATTCTGCTGATTCGCACATTGCTGCTAACTTATTTTACGAAATTCTCTCACGTCCGAGCTTTCATTGTGATTTATCACTGCTCGCAAATACCGCTCTAATTGCTTAATATCACGCGCTAATCACGATGTCTATGGAAGAAGAAAAAGAGTAGGGGAACTTGTTGTACCTCGGATATGGTTGTATCACGGTCCTATATGCAATTTTAAATGTTCGTTGATTTTTTTTGTGCAAAATTGGCAATACTAGTTTATACATAATCTGCCAGAAGGGCTACAAAAGTTAGTTCGCAAGTGATTGCGTCGCTAGTCCAGGAGTTGCAACGATTTGAAGACTTTTTTACATCAAAAGTAATTCTTGTTTCGTCTAAACTTTTGTAAATAACTTTGTTTCTGTTCATAAAGTTGCAGCCAGTTATTTTAATATAGTTTCGTTACTTACTTAGCCATAGATTGCTGCAGAAAGAAGGGGTTCATCCTTAATCTATAAATGATACGAAGTTGTTTTTCTAATTTTTGTAGACTGTTGTACCTTGGGCCTAAAAATCGTATTGTACCTTGGACAGATCTCTGTTTTCTTTTCCAATGTTTTATCCCTTTTTTTTCGTAAACAGGTAAGCAAATTATTAAAGTGTCCCGTAATGAAACCGAAATGAAAAAGTTATAAAGACTAGGAAACATAGAAATATTGGATATACCATGATGACTGGTTAAAAAAGAATACCTAGAGATTTATATAACCCAAATACGTCGCATATTATAAGTAGTATTGTAAAGCAAAAAATATATATTCATACATAATTAACAAAAAGTGTGTTCTTTTCCGAGGTAATGTGTGGTGTTATACATACCATAGACATAATTATAGTTTGTTTTTTAACATTTATAATTCTAATAAAATAAATAATTTCTACAATGTTCTGGTAACTAGAATTTCTCTTGGAATCGGCGAATTTCAAAATATTTAAATAACTTTATCGTATTTGTCTCGTCGACCGGCTCAACTTTACGACGTTACGAATTGTGTTGGATCACGCGATATACAATGCACGCGGAACGTTCAACAATAATACTGAATTCTACCTGCGTGAATTCCGTAACCCAGTTTCGATGTCGACGTTACTCGGAATAGTCACGGTTTAAAATTTATCTACCGAATATGTTGGACACTGCTGTGAAACATTTCTTATACGGGAAATACGATACCCCGAAAATTCCGACTATTTTTAAAACTCTGTAGGTTCATAAAGGACCTTGATAGAAGCATCGGGTAATTTTTCGTTTTTGTTGATATTCGGTTCTTCAGGATGGAGCAACCTCTTAAAGGTTAACGTGTATTTTACTATTTTTCTGTATATCTTGAAAAGTATAATAGATGTATAACATTATTATAGTGATCCCCTACATACCTGCGGAATTGTTGCAAAATTAAAACTTTCTGGTTATCGAAGTTCCTTTGTTAGTTAATAGACACTACAGTTTTCGAATATAAGGTACCTGCATAATACTAAGTAGAACTACCTAAGTTGAATGTATACTGAATTAAATTTATAATACATCAATATATGTATACATATAGTATTTGTATGCTATATGTATATAATACATACTATATTTATATACATATATGTATACTACAGGATAGCATAATATAGTGTAAAGTTAAATATATAATAAATTACAGAGCGACGTGAATACCCACCTTAATAATTTCAGTAATAATTGTAAAATAACAAATCGGAATGCGATCATTTTGACAGGTTCACAGTACCTCTAGTTTTAATACTCCAGATGAGTGTTTGGAACAATACTCTTACAATATTAAGGAAATTGATTCAAACCTAATAAAAATTCTCTTCGATATGAAAACGGTGAAATTTCAGGGATCGAACTCTGTCGTTTTTGTTGTGTTTTTTTTCATTCTAAAGGTACAGGTTTCCGTACGAGTCTATTGAAATCCATTTATTGGATTCTTCTGCGTTTATTTCCCCGTAAAAACGGATTAACGCTTACTCTTTCATGGGGCATTCAATTTTTTTTTATCAGTCAATCACTTTATATTCGCAAAAAATCGTGCACATTTATGCACAACAAAAAACCTTGAAGCTTATGACGTTCACTTTGCATTTTATAGTTTCACAATACGGGAATGTTCCGTTGGCGCAAACATTCAGTCATTTTGATTGATTGTATTTTGCACAACTTCGCCACGGATTTGTTATATTTAGTACATGGACAATTTTGTTATTTTTCAAGCGAGAATACAATACGATTTACATAGACAGATCTTTCTTAACTTGTTAATTAGAAAATTGTGTCATTTCTGTAGACGTAACAGTCTTCTGAAGCTGATGTTTCTACTCTCTAGAGTAAAATTAGTAACATTTTACTCTCAACTGGACATAAATGAGCGAGTTACTCTAAACAATTACTCTCAAATAAACACGTGGCATTACTCTTCTGTCATGAACGCTATAAAAATGAAGAATTATTTAGGAACTTATTATAAAGAAAATACACAATGAAATGGTATAAAACTTCGTATTGTTTATTATTGTACGTTTGAACAACAACAAAAATTTTGTAATGGTAAAATAAATGGTGTATAGTGTGTTTTTCCTAAGGTCTGTATACACCTTGAAACGTATGTAGTTACTTTATCGCCGGTATCAACATAAATTATTTATATGCAAAATTAACAAACAGGCGGGCATTTATATAACAATATATAAATCCAACCTTTTTTTTAACTATCTTCCAGTGTAAAAAATATGTTGAACTGGATAAAACAAAATTGATTCCAATACTATCGACAGCCATTCGCATACAAATTAAGAATCCGTTTGAAATTCCTATTTCAAATGAGTCTACAAGCTGAAATCACCTGCGCCAGTAAGGCAACTATGTTTGAGGCTGCATACAGACCTTCGAAGAAACACACTAATAAACAACTTATTTTACCATTACGGAAATATTGTCTTGCTCCTAAAATGTATAATAATAAGCAACAACAGTTTTATACATTGTATACTTTCTTTTTTATAAATTCCGAAATACATAATCCTTCATTTTCACATCACGCACACCGGAATGACCCCTTAAAAACGTCCCGGGGCCCCGACCGAACGTGCAACGGAACCGTCGCGGCAGAAGGGGGAAAAGCAACAGCGAAGCGTACAGGTCTGGATAGCCATCGTCTCCTTCTTTGCATAATTTCGACGTGTTGAAAGGAAGGCCGCTCCTCCACCGGTGCGGCGTGTCCGTATTAGAAAAGAAACCGTGCGCCCGCGGAACGCCGGAAACCGGAGGGTCGGCGGATGAGAAAGAGTGAATGAGGGGAGGTAGAGGTGGTAAAAGGATGGAAAGAAAGGAGGTAAAAGTAAAATTGCGGCTTAAATAACGCCGCGAATCGCCGCGGCAGGGAGCTGAGGCGAGCCGAAAAGAGACTCGTGAGGCGCGTCGAAACGAGAGAAAGATAATAAAATTTCACTTGGAAGTGATACTGGATGTGACAATAAAGTTTCGAGAATAATTCGTATAAAAAGGGCATTTCGTAGATTATGCAGATGTGAGAGTATAACGTTCGAAATACAGTAGGGCTTCTTGTATACGAACACTCTGGTATTCGAACGTTCTACTATACAAACATATTAATATTTACGTATGAAAATACAACCTAATGCTTGCATACGATATACACTCTTTACGGTCAAACTACGTGGTTGCTTGTGTTAAAAAATTTATTCGGTTTAGTAAGCAAAACGGTATGGAATTCATAAATATTTAACCTTGCTATTCTCCTTACTTATTCGTCACGTTTGTATCCCTTCGAATAAAATTGCTTCAAACTTTAAAATGATTTGTTCTTAAGAAATGGGAAATGCACGAAAAGTAAAGGTACAATTTAGGTACGTTGGATACTAAAAACAAATATTCGAAAACAGGATATAGTACAGACCCGAGGAGAACAGCAGGGTTAAACTGTCAATTTTTTTTATCTTTAGTTAAATAATTGAAACTTAGTGTCGGAAAAGTCTATTCTCTGAAAATTCCTTTAGCCGAACACTCACGTATGTTCTCCGATTAGTTCGGATAGGGGAGGCTCTACTTTCCTTCGAGACTTTACACTTATGAGTAGACTGCGAATTTTTATGCAAAATAACATTTTCTAAAGTAATTTACAAATATTGGAGCAAATGTAGAAATTTATTTTCCCCCTTAAGTATCTTATTAGGTTCAGATTAAAATAGAAAAATCATTGGATCCGATGAAAGTTTTATTTTTTACTGTATTTCACAGATCCCTGTGGGCTGCAAATGCATAAAATCCGCAGTCTACTTATGAGCAAACTCGGTTTCCCCCAGGAGAAAAAGCAGCGTAAGGGAGCTGATATTTATGCCAAATTAGCATCGGTTTAACATTTATTTCAGTACTTGAAATAAACTTATCAAGTGGTAGGAGGCCCTTCCTCTACGCCACTTTTTACCCTAATAGAAGCCGAGTTTGCACGTCAGTGTACATACATATGTACGTATTGCACCGTTGAATCCATTGATCGTGACATTTCTGATCCTCACATTCTGGTGTCGTTTTTAGTATACTCCCGTTATATTACAAGGTGTGACAATAAACTTTCAGGAATAATACATTTACGAATTTTATTTTGAGGATCAAATTGATGTGAGATCATCGTGTTCAACGTATTCCTTTTGAGGTTATACATACGCATACCAGCATCGGATCCATTGATCGTAACCTTTCTGGTACTCACTTCCGGGTGTCTGTTCTAGTGCCCGCGTTACTTTGAATTTTAGAAGCTGACTGAAACATATGCGTTCCTTTCATGACTTCTTTTACTCAAGAAAATAACAAAAAATTTAACAAAAGACGAATCAGGTGAATACCATTGGTGTAA